GGAGCAGAAATGAGAACTCGAGTGCCTGACGGCACCCGTTGCTAACGCTCTGAACCGCGGCCTCAGTTTTCTTTTGCTTCTGGGTGAAAGAAGTATTGACTGTGACTTTCCAGGCTCCGTGCAGCTTTTCCTCTGTATCTTCCTAAGGATGCAGCACAGGGAGCTAGCCTCACTTCCTGAGTTCTCGGGCAGCCCCGGAGGCCAGCTGGCCACACCCACAGGTACCAGGTGGGCGTGGAGGGTGGTGGAGGGGAGACTCGAGTAGCCAGTGCCTGCTGCTCCTGCCCTTTCTTACTCTCTTGACAACTTTAGTGCTCAGAAGTACAAATCTCCACATAACCAAGCAAAGTCCTGGGGAGAGTCACTGCATGTGGAAACGGATACCAAAGCTGCTGCCTCTTAGAGGCCGAGAAAGCACACGTTCCAGAGACCAAGCTCATCTCCTTGGCTTCACAGTCTCCAGCGGAAAGGGCACACCAGTTTCATAGGGTCCCCTCGGCCTATTAATACACATGGGAGGAGTGGCGTGCCCTGAAAACTAGATTTAAATAAATACATTATCTTGCTGTAAACCAGAGACACCTGCTTTAATCATATTAGCTTATAAAAAAGTGACCATGGGGCACGGGGCGAAGCGTGGTCTTTTAGGCAGACCTAAGTGCTAACCTCTGTCACTGCCTTATTATGCAGCCTTCAGCATATAATAAGTGTGCTTAAGCCCTTCGAGCCACAGCATTATATTTTACATGGCACTGTACTATACTGCCTGTCAAGTTAGAGGTGAGGATCTGAGACATGAGAGTGTGTCCGCAGCAGGCAGCAGCTCTGGGGCAGGAGGAGCCCCTGCTGTCACGAGGCAGTCCCGAGCGTTCACCCACAGGGGAAGTGGCACGGGCACCAGGGCCCGGAGCCTCTGGGCCTCGGGCACGCTCAGCATCTCTCTGTGGAAAGTGTCCGCTTGCCAAGCAAAGCAGCATTATCATTTCCTTTTTCCCAAGCTGGACAGCAGACAGGAGTAACAGACGGAGGAACTTCCAGTTTATTTCAAGAAAGCCTGGGGCCACTTCCCCTCCCTTCCTCCTGCCTTGTAGTTGCACAGTTGTTTGTTTGAACTTGAGACTTCCTGACCTTGGAAGGTGTTTTTGGTTTGGGCAGTCAGAGCAGCTCCTTGCCATTCCGAGCTCCAAGCCAGCAGAAGCCCCCCTTTCTAAGGAAGGAAACGCCCAGAACTTGCAAATAGATTGGCAGGGCGTGGCCCTGCCCCCACTCTGCAGGGGTATTTCTCTGACACCACAGGCACTTCCTACCCCTGCACGTCCTGCAGGGTGTGGAGCGCAGGCGGCACGGAGTTGTTCTCCGTGGGTTGGCCCCCTTGCACAGGTGGAAGGAGGCAGTCTGCGGCAAGGGCAGGCTCTGAGCCGCCCAGAGCGGGCCATTGGGACAGATGGTCATTACGGAGTGAGGCCTGCAGTTGAAGGCTAGGGAGTCCAGGGAAAAGACTTGACTTGTCACTCTAGTCACTAGAGCAGCGTGCAGAGAAGCACCCGGGTGTCCTCACCCACACCACCCTGACACAGGGGCTGCAGTTGGCCCTCGTATGAGCCTATCTGAAGAATCGAAGCCTCCACTGTGTATGCTGCGTGTCCCTGGTGGACGGACAAAGTGATGGCTGCGAAGGGAGCATCACGGGGAGCCCCAGGGCACCTCCAACGTCGATTCTGGCCACTGACCCGGAGGCGCCGGAGGACCTCAAGGCGCCCACAGCTGGGTGAGGCGGAATGGGGTGGCATCATCCAAGGTGAACAGGGATAGGCTCCAAGTGTCCCCTTAGCGGGCGGGGACTTCCCTGTATATTTCTTTAACTAAAAAATGTGTGCCATTTGCAAGAGTTTTTAAAAACGGTTAGAAAGGATGTGTTGGGCAATTTTTGTTGAAGCCAGACTTCAGGTCTAGTTTTAATTGATTTACTTTGTGCTCTGGCTCTGAGGAGTGTGGATCCACGCATCTGTCTCTGCTTCGGCTGAGCCGACAGTGGGGCAGACGCGAGGAAAGCACATTTGTAAGGTGAGCACACTCCGCAAGTGAGGCTTGCAGGCCGCGCCTTCCTGCTTCGAGGGGAGTCCTGCGGGCGGGAGGATGGGGCCCCAGCGTCCGAGCTCCTGCCCTCTGCAGCCGGACATCAGGGAGTCCGCGGGCCACATCTCTCTCTCGGAATAGCACTGTTTTTACTAGGGAAGGGCATGGGAGTTTGGGGCATTTGCTCAGCCAGACAACACAATCGAATTCTCACAGGTCTCAATGTTTTCACAAACTGACTTCCAAAGGATGGGGATATTCTAATAGATTGACTTGGGGGAAAGGGCCTTGTCACATATGCCTGCTTCATCCTCCCAGGAGCACCCCTTCCCTCCTTCAGGAGCCCCAAAACAAGAGGTTTGCTGTTGAACTTGGGACGGCATCTGACTCTGTGACCCCAGGCACGCTGTGGGACATTGTTAGGGTGTCAGGGTAGCATCTGTTCCCTGGACAAATGCCCTTAATGTGACGTGCAAGACATCAGAAATAACAGGGCAGGGCCAGGCCCATGCTTTGGGGACCCCATGGCGCTTTCCCGGACAGTGCCGAGGAGAGGGTGACAGAAGCCTGGTGCGGCACCTGGAAACCTGTGTGAAACCTTCCCTGAGATCAGGTGTTGGGGCCTGGGCCGGGGCTGCGTGTGTGGTCCTGGCTCTGGGTGGACTCAGGCCTGGTTGGGACTCAGGCATAGACTCAGTTTCCCTTTGGGGCAGGAACGGAGCCCACACGCAGAAAGTCTGACTGCTTCACAGTGGCGATTCTGAGCTCAGCTGCACCTGTACACATGATTCAGGGTTAACGGAGCAAGGTCTCAACCTCCCCGCTGGGTCCACTGACTTCTGCCCTCACGCAGAGTGGGTGCGGTGGTCATGAGGGGCTTTGTGTGGACCCTGTCCCTGCCCAGCACATGCCAGGAGTGGGAGGGCTCCATTTCCGCAGCTCCAGTCCTGCCGAGCCCGCTGTCTGGAGCACTCCAAACACAGGTTGGATCTGGGGCGGGGCGGGGAGTCCCTGAGTTGTCTGACCAGACCCGCCCTGGCCCTGGGGTATCTGTGCTCCGGCTCCGTTAGGGTGGCACCGGGGACACCTGACTGTGAAAGGACTGTGTTGTCATCCTGATGCCTCAAGGCTTAGATGAGGAGTGGGGGCAAAGGCAAGACCTGAGCCTGCCCCGCATGAGGCCTGGGCAAGTGGTTCTGCTGTTTCAGGAGTGTCCCCTTGTGGGAAGTGGAGCCCCTGGGACATCCTCTCTTTGAAATGAAGGCACCCAAGGTACCTTCTGTGAAATAGGGCCCCTAGTATCCCCTACCACAAAATGGGGGTCCCCAGAGCATCCCCTTGCTGTGAAATGGGAGCCCTTGGTGCTGGGGTCATTGCTGAGCCTGTGCAGAGGTAAGGAGCAGGGAGGGTGCCATCTGACTTGAGTGGCTTCTCTTTTAATCATTAGTGCTCTTTAGATGCCTTTATTGCTGTGCTTCTGCTTGTTGGTATTCGGGACCCAGTGTGAACGATGGACAATTAAGTGCTTTGTGACATAGGAGGCTCTGGGTCAGCGTAGCTCCATGCAGCCTCTTGGGTCCCTGCACTGTTCACTATCCTTTCCTTGGCCTCCTTGCACGGTGCAGCCTCCCTGCACTAGTGCAGCCTGGCACTTCGCAGCTAAATCCCCGTGACCTGCAGGAGCGGCGACCAAACTCTCAGGCACCTGTTGCTTAAGTTTTCTTTGCTCCCAGAGAAGCAGCCGGTCTGGGCATTCTAGCTTGCCTGTGAGTTTGCCCTGGTTCTTTCCTTGAAAACCCATGGGTTCATGTGTGTCTGGGTCAGGCTGGCCTGTGGGTCCCTGAGGACAGACCTCCCAGGCACTGCAGCTCTTTTCCTTGGGTTGAGCACTGAAAGAAGCATCTTCGAGTTAGGAGATGATCCAGCAGTCAGACTTCCCACTGCAAGTAGAGGGCACAGGGAGAAAGTATAGTTGCAAGATTGTAGTTTTCTTTGATAACCAGAAATGGATGTGGTATCAATTAATTTAGTAGAAATTAGGGATAATCTCTTGAATGTCACCTCTGATCTGTCCTTTCAGAAATAGAACACTACCTACAGCGGGCTCTTGAATGCACAGGAAAGGACATGCACTCCACGCTCTCCTGCCCTAGGACATTCGTTTCAACAAGCCAAAAAACAAAACAAAACTGGTAGTTTTACTTAGAATTGAAAAATTCTCTTTTTAGAAACATGTTTCAGGTTGACATGGACAATTTTAAACAGAATAAAAATTAATTAAAAGAAGCAAATAAATATATTTCAGACAACTGGGTGAGTTGTTCACTGCAAGTGAGCACAAAACTTGAGCTTCCTGGTAGCTAATGCAAAAGGGGAAAGGGTTTGGATACAATATCACATGCAAAAAAAAAAGTTCCTTTGGAAGGATTTCTAGAGGAAACCAATAGCTAAGCTGTGTACACTGGAAACATTGGATCACTCAAGGGGTGACATCTTTGAAATATTTCCTTTCTTTTGGAAAAATCAATGCATGTAAAAATGTTGAAAACGTAACACTAAATTCCAGTGAGGCCCTTTCCAAAATAAGCCAAGACAACAGTGTGGTTCTAGAATTTGCTTGGGTTCCTCTGCCTGTTCCAGGACAGCTGCCAGATGAAAGTGGGGGTCTGACCTGCAACTTACACTGTCGCTCTCTGCAAGACAAGCCGCCATCTGAGCTAAGTCGGACCTGATAGCACACGGCCGGCCAGATGTTGGGGCTGACGTTCTCTTTGACCTTGGGAGGCAGAGGCCCATGTCTGTGCTGAGACCAGAAGTGAGAGGTGAGGATGCCTGAGGAGAAGCCCAGGTTTCATTTAAAGTAGCTTTAAGTGAGTGTAAGCATTTGGGGAAATACAGTGTTCACGCTTGGCCATTGGAACTATTGGGTCTCTCCCATACTGGCCTTTGTGTTTGCAAACCTGTTTTTCATCTTTTAAGGAGCTATAGAAAGCAGAGGAGAAGCACTTATCCTCACTGTTTTATTCTCTTTGACTTTTTTGGAACTCCCAGATGAGCTGGTGAGACCTGAAAAGACAAGAAGAGAGTGTCCCGTTTTATTTAAAGTGCACTTGTTTGGAAGAGAAATACTTGCATTGAGATATTTCCTTAGGGGCTCTATTCACCTTGTTTGTAAGGCGATGTTTCATGGTTTGAAGAAATCTGGTTATTATTGTTGTTGTTTTTTTTTAATATCAGGCAACTTGGTGAAAGTCACTACTTCTGGCCTCCTACCCCAACCTCCCAGGCCTGCTTGGCTCGGGCCCGAGGAAAACACAGAGCTGGAAGGCTGAGATTCCTGCTTTTTGGGGAGTCCTGGAACTGTGGGCCCAAACCCCAGAAACCCCCAGCCCGCAGGCCCCATTGTCTAAGCCGTGTGGACTTCAGCATGTAACGGGGCACGCCGCTGGGCACCTGCTGCGCGGGAGCTTTGAACTCTGTTCACTGCCTTGATCTCCGAGCAGGGAGTGAGGGGGAGACATTTCCCCCTGTCCCTGTGGAGCCTGGACCGTGTGATGGGCAGGGCAGGGCCAGCTGTGATGGGATATGAGGGAGCTAAGCTTTCTCTGGGCTCTAACAGAGGGTGTCCAGGTGGGGGCTCATGCTTACACCCCAAACTGTTAAGAGACACACAGCCCTTGAATGAAAAGCTGAGAAGGGAAGAGAGGGATGTTGGAATATGGTGCCTATATGTCTGCTTTACTCACCTTCCTTTAAACAAATACAGGCTCCACCTCTGTTTGTTCCAGCAAATGTCTCTATTATCCAGAGAATTGGATTTTATCAGATGGAGGAAGGTAGTGACGCGAAGACATTCTGGACAGTATTGTCTGATTTAAAGCTTCCAGCAAATAGGCTTCTCTCCTCTAGTGGTTTGGAACATAGCTGTATTTGACCTCCCTGTTGCCTGCCTAAAGGCACAGGGAAGTCATGCCAGCAGAGGTGTCCCTTGTGCCTTGAACTGAGGCCAAGGCAGACCCAGACGTTCCTTTTTCTTTGTCACTCTGTACTTGGCCAGCTGGCCCGGAGTCATGTGTAAATGTGCAGGGCGGAGTGGCAGATGTTAGCCTGCCAGAGAGTAATCACCTTTTAATGCTTCGTCTTAGTTCGTGGGTGAAAACGAAAGTAAAAAGTCAGCCAGTCCCTCATGCACATTTTAGGGAGCAAAGTTCAGTGGAAGATGGCTAATGGGTAACCACAGGAGGGCTGCCGGCTCGACCACAGGGGAGTCTTGTCTCCCTGGGTGACTCTCCGCCATGGGAGACAGAAATGCTACCCGAATCTCCGTGTCTGAAATGAAAAGCTACTACATTTATTCTGAGTGGTGCTCCTGGCTGCTCTCTGTTGCTGAGGGTGAGTCCTTGGGTCCTGTAACCCTCCGTCCCTCTGGAGTCGCCCACAGGAGGTGTACTGGGAATGGTCAGAGCTCCTGGCTGCGGTAGCCCTTGTTTCACTGCAGTATTTCCTGGGGTTGTACAGTACGGAGATGGTTCATGTAGATTTCTTGTGTGAATGACAGAGGATGTCTTCGTGAATGACGTGTAATCTCTGTCCCCGTGGAGCTGGAAAATAGCTCAGGGAACAGGGATTATGAGTAAATGAGCCTTTTACCCAAAGTTATCGTTAGATTACTCTTAAGTCACAGCATCAGCGACCAAAAGCAAATGATTTCCCTCTGGCGAGCGAGTGTAAGCTCCGTGACTCGTCTGAACTTGAGAGGAGAGAGCCCAGCCAGCAGCAAGCCCATCAGTGCTGCTGCAGACCTCAGTCTACGGACACTTGATACACGAAGGTGCACGTGTAAAATGCAAAAGAAAACAAAAGCCGTTAGCTACATGGTATTGATTAGTTCCTTGACAGAATGACGCAAGCCTGGTGACTTGTATGGTTAAGTACAGTTCAATGACACAAAGCTGTGTCCATTGTCAGCTTTTCAGGAAGCTACAGATCCCAGTGGATCTTCCTGGCACAGTCCTGGCAGAGCCCCAGGGCCATACTCAGGCTGAGCAAACCTCCTGTCTGGGAAGGGCTGCCTTCATTCAACCTTGAAATTCAGAAGATCTGGAATGTGGTAGTGTGCATTGCTCCTTCACTGGCTGAATCCCCCTTTCTCTGTGGTGAGAACTTTGATGTCCTGGTGACCAGGATCTAGGTCCTGCTGGGGAAGACACAGCCACAGTGAAGACGGAAGCCATTAAGTGTTTCCTCAGCTTTTTGGCCCTGGTTCTGAGTTCACACCGTTAGATTTAGAGCTTTGCTATTTATAAAGCTTTGCATCACTGTCTGATCTCAATGTCACCCATTTTACAGATGGGGAGAGTCAAGCAGTAGCTGTCATAATTAACATGGCTCATCCTGGAGTGTAGGCAGACCTGCAGCGATGGAGAAGCGGGTATAGGTATTGACAGGCGACTTGAGAACGCAGCTGGGATTTGCTGCGTGGACCTGTGGGTTGGCCAGGCTTCCCAATTGCTCCTGTTACTGTCCCAGTAGCCACAGGATGCCAAGGACTCAGCAAGTGATTGGGGAGGACGCAGAGATGGTGGTGGTCCGCGCCATGGAATCCAGCCTACGACCCCCAGGGGCCGGCTGAAAGGGATGGCTGATCTGGAGCAGAGAGGAAGGCTGGCGGGTGGGGAATTCTCAGAAACCTGAGGTCCTGCAGCCTGGGTGACGAATCTCAAAGACAAAATTGTATTTGGCCTCATGGCATGGGGCTGGGGCTGGGGCATAAACCTGGGCTCTGCCCAGGAGATCGGTGGCTGCCTCAGTTTATCTGTTTGTAAAAAAGTAACGTGCTTTTCCCTTCAGGGGAACTGATGCTTCTGTGATGCTTCTGTGATTTTCTGTGGAATCAGTGATTGGGCTGAATCCACAGTTGGACGAAATAGCCCTAAACACTGGACAGAACCTCCCTGAAGGAGCTAATTGTGTTAGTTTCTCCCGCCTTGGTCCAGTGCTGGCTGGCCTCACTGGCTGGCAGGAACCCATTAGAGGGGACCACTGCGCTCTCTCTGTCCTGGAGCCGACCTGGTCTCCCCAGTCCCTCTCCCAGTCTCTGCAAAATGAGCGCTGTGTGCCGAGCACACCTCCCAGAGAAGAGTCTCAGAATTTGAAAGCTGCATTTAAAACACAAGAAAAGATGGGAAGGTCTTTTGGGGGTGAAAATGTGCCATTTTAGTGATCTCCAGGACACTTCATTGGTACTGAAGTACGTTTGGAGGAAACCACATGAATGGGGTTCAGAATTTGGAGAAATCAGAGCCAAGATGCCGGCTCCTCCCAGAGCCACAGGAAGGGGAGGCTCCTGTGCTCTCTGAGCACCTGGCCCCTGACCAGGGCCAGCCTCTGTTCTTGGTCATTCCCGCCCCAGCCCCGCAGAGCCCCTTGCTTCTACTCTGATCCCAGAGACACTTCCTGTGCCTCACAGAGACAGGAGCGAGAGCAGACGCCCGCACGCCGACCTCAGTCTGCATCTCTCACACCTGTGCCCTCTCGGGCAGGTCCTCTCTGGGAATAGGAAGCCCTTCTGCCCAATGTCTCAGTTTAGGTTTTACCAAGAAAATAAGCCTCAGGGCCACCGTGGGGCTCTAGAAAATGCCTTTTCAAAGGCTCTTCCTCCTCTTGCTTTTCTGTCCCCATATCTGAGAACCAAGAAAGGCGTGTCCAGGTGACTCAGGACCCATGGCCACAGGGCCCTTAGATACTTAAGGTCACAGAGTCAGGAACAGTCTCTTAATGGCCTTGCTACTGGTTGCGCTGAACAGATTCTCAGGTGTGATTTGAACATGAGATGAACTCACTTCAGTGGAGTCAGTCTCACCAGACCAACTCTTGGGCCGCAACCCCGGCCTCCCCCAGAGGACAGCGAGGGGGCGTGGGGTCGCCTGCCGGAGGAGCACATGCAGCCTGGGGGCCCCGGGGCCTCCGTCTGTATCTGACCTGGGCTGAATGGAGTCTTTGCAGGAGGTCTCTCCCCACCAGTCCCTTCCAACACTTTTCAGAAACGCTCTTATTGAAAGTGAACACGGCCCCTCCTGCACTGAGTGGCAGAAGCTGCCGCCCCCCAGGGTGGGGTGGGTGCTGCGCAGGACACAGCCTGGGTCCTCCCAAACTGCCCAGAGTGAGGTTATTAATGGGCCATGGAGTTTCTGTTTTGACTCTCAGTCTTTTTCCTCTTGTTTTTAGCTTAATACCCAAATTCCCCTCCTGGTTTCCCCCGAACTGCTGCTCACGTGATAGTGAAATCCAACAGAGAGCGGCTGCCACAAGACCAGGAGGCGTAAGCTGGGTGCTCCTTTCCCCGTATTTGGTTAAAAATACTCAATTGGTAAATTAAAATTGAGTCAGAGTGGCAAAACAGGGGAAGTGGAACTTCTCCTTCTGGAATGCGTCAAATTGAGTCCTGATTCTCAGAAAGGACTTCAACCTGGAAGAAGAGGCCAGGAGAGGTGGCCTGGGGGAGCGTCCTCTGTGGACAGCAGGTAGGAGCCTCAGAGCCTGAGGTCAAAGTGTTGCTCAAACAGAAGTGCTTGTTGGAACTGGATGTTTAATGTGGCGCCATGGAAGTCACGTTAAGAATATAGACCCGGGCGAGTGTGTTGTGAAAGTGGGACGTCTGGCACGGCTGTAAGGAGCACTGACAGGATTGCCACCAGCAGCGCTGCGTTGTCATCATCAGCCTCATAGCTGGTCTCCGAGAGATGCCAAGGGGAGGGGACACGCCCAAATGTGAGTCCCTTCTACAGTTAATGGAAATCTGGCTGCTGGCAGTGTGTTTGTGTTCCTTAGAGAAGCAGGTCTGGGCATAGGCAGATTACTCTGAATTAAGAGTTTGTGTCTAGAAGAAAACTTCAGGGGAATGAATTGAGGGTGGGAAGCTTCTTTTTAGGGAGGTGTGCACGGTGCATCTGCAGGTCGAGTGGACACTCCATGACTGTTTATTGGTGCTGCCTCCTGTGTTATAATTCAGAGACAATGAGTAACATCTGACAGCACATGTTATTTACTATGTGGGTATGGCTGCTTCAGACCAGGGCTCATGATACTTTTTATATTCTTTACTACTTTTTTCCCTAACCTTATATGGCAGACAAAAAAGGTTGTTTAGTACCTCTGGGGTGCAGTTATACCATTATAAAAATGTGTATCTAAAATATGGGAAAGAACAGGAAAGAAAAGCAGTGGTGAAGGCTACATGTTTGTATCTGGTGTCTTGGAGCAGGAGTTGGAACCTTTTCTGTAGAGCTTCTCACGGGTATGTGTAAGCCCTTCCTGAGTGGGCGGCTTTCCATGGGGGTGCACTGTGCACTCCGGTGGCAGCTAGCTCCGTGGAGACCTGTAAAGAACATTCTGTTTTGAGCAGTAGATAAATCTCAATGTCTGGGGTATTTTCTTAACTCATAGGCTCAGTGTAACATGCAAAGGGATTCATAATTCAGTAATGTTTTTCTTTTTTTAATCAATCTTATCATCATTCAGATTTCTGGGAAAGCTTATCCATCCTGATAAGCTTTCATCCTGAAAGCAGCATGAACAACAAAACCCTTCTCTGTCACTGTTTTATGTGGAAAGATCACTAGGATTATAAAATGTGTGGGCCACACTAGTGTAAAAACCTGTTGTGGACTTTTTATTCTAAAACCTACAACATCAGAAAAGTTAGGGTAAGGAAGGCCACTTTTTCTACATCTCTAGAGAACAGTTTTTCAAGAACAGAAAGTAAAAAGTATGTTAAATAAAATAGACACAAATGCTCAGCATACATATGGAGCCTTGAGAAATATAAAAGAATTCACCACCAGACTAGATAAGGTGGGAGGCAATGGGTTGACAGTGCCCATTTGCAATTTTATTCAAAATATGTGTGAAATATGTCTACTATTAGAAGTAAACTTATTTTCTAAGATTGCTGGAATGAGGTGATGAGAGTATTCTCCATGAGTACTCCAGGAACAAATATTCAGAAAAGTAAACTTTTCTGTATTAAATTAAGAAGAAATGAATTAACAAAAGATATCAAGGACCCTAGAGGTGCTTTTCTTCATTTATTCACGGAGAAGCACGGACTAAATGTCTACTGTATGCCAAGCCTCTTCTTATTGCTGGAGAGAAAGCCGCAAGAATCAATCCATGTTCTTTGTGAACAATTGGGATGGATAACAATTGGGCTAGGAGAGCCTGCCTGGGACAGTAATCAGCTTCAGGGAGAGAGGTCAATGGGGTGAGCTGCCTGACCTGAAATGAGGCTCTTGACACCCGCTTCTTCCTGCTCTGAGAAGCTACCCCTGGCAGCCGTCTGCCAGAAGACAAGGTCTGGCACCTGGGTCCACTTCACCTGGTGGCTGGCGACA